TATGGTTGAAAGGGTTCTAGGTCATATTATATGGTTATTGGATGAAGCCCAGAAGCCAGTGGAAGTTTCGCAAGGTGGTGGGTGAACAATCTAGGGTACTAAAAAAGCACAGGTCATCAAGTAATCTCACAGAAAAGTCGGGTTAGATGATCGTGTATCCTGGGTTACGTCCCGAACTTTGTATTTATTTTTACATATATTAATAAAAATTTTTTTCTGATCATTTCCCTGGAAAACGGTTTTTGGCAAAAGTGATCTTCTGATTTCGTATTATTAATTAAATATATCACATTTTATATAAAAAATGACGTATACACAGGCCCAAAGAGGCGAATCGAAAGATTCATCTACAATTATTTCGTTAAGAGAATTAAATACCAAGCTTACACTCGAGATTAGCGAACTTAGAAAGAAGCATGCTGAGGCTGAGGCTAAAAAGGCTAAGCTTGAGGCCAAGAATACCGAGCTTTTAAAACAAATTAAGGAAGAGATAGAGAAAAATAAAATGGATACCATTAACCTTAAAGTCGAAAATGGTGAGCTTAGAGTCAGAGTTGCGAAATTGAAACAGAAAAGTACACTCGTTCCATAAGAACAATCTTTGTATAATATAAATGCTTCTTGTAGAATGAATTCTGATGATACTCCTAAACAGTTAGTTTCACAAAATAAGAGTGATTCGGTATCTGATATATCTGATAATGCTTCAAATTCTGATACATATCATCATCATATAGACACGGAACCTAAATCATTAAAGAATAGGGAGATAGAAAGAAGGTATTAGTAACACATTCAGAGAAAAGAATCGAGAAAAGAAACTTCAACGCGGATCAACTATCCAGGATGTTTCTTCCGACTTATCAGATGATAAAGATATCGTTCCCTCGGGAAGTGATCAAGATTCAAATTTATCATGTGATCCAAAAACCGTGAATAAAATTCACGATCAAAATCTTGATGAATTCTCATCACTATCTAAACCATCATTAATTCTGATTCTGCAGACCGATTCGAATGTAATGATGATCTATCCCAGCCTGATAAAAACCAGATCGTAGAACAAGACTTAAAACAAGAACTATCGGCCTCTAGCACTCAAAAAATATATAACTATTACTTGATGGTGGAAACCAATACAATCAGGTTACTGCACAAAACATAGTTTGTATGTTTCGAAAGACAATCAATCTGGTCAGGAAGAAATTTTGCATTGGTGTCATTATATTATAACTGTTTCAAATATTGTTAATATAAAATTATTTATTGAAATATTCAAAGAATTAAAGTATAATTTTAAAA